CTGTGCTCAGAGAGCACTCAGGCCTTGCAGCCAGAAAGGGGCTCACAAGGACAGTGTGGAAGTGGAAAGAGCAGCTCTGCAAAGCCCAAGCTCTGCTGCTCCCTGGCAGTGCTGCTGTGCTGGGATTCTTGTCCCCTTGGCCTTTGCAAATCCCCCCTGTCCTGCAGTGTGCTGTCCTTTAGGAACAGCTGAGAAGAAGAGTTTTGGACAAAGAAGGCACTGCACGGTCCTTTATTTTGTTTAAAATCTTAGAGAGCACAATTCATCATTTATACACCTCTGTGTCAAATTCAATGGCTAGACACAAAATTAGAGGGCAGGTTCATAATAACAATAAATTGCACAGAAAATTATTGCAAGAAGAACGTGATGACCTCCACAAGAAAACCTGAGAAGGAAGGTTGGGCCGTTAGGGAGTCCCCTTCTGAATGCTACAAACCAGAAAAAAGGCACTTTATTAATCCTGAAAACCACCCAGTCATCATTTTCCTTAGGGCATCCCTGAGCTCCTGGTTCCTCAGGCTGTAGATGAGGGGCTTCAGGGCTGGAGGCACCACCGAATACAAAACTGACACAATCAGATCCAGGGATGGGGAGGAGATGGAGGGGAGCTTCAGGTAGGCAAATGTACTGGTGCTGAGGAATAGGGAGACCACGGCCAGGTGAGGGAGGCACGTGGAAAAGGCTCTGTGCCGTCCTTGCTCAGAAGGGATCCTCAGCACAGCCCTGAAGATCTGCACATAGGAGAAAATCATGAAAATGAAACAACCAAACCATAAACAGGCACTAAATACAATGATCCCAATTTCCCTGAGGTAGCCTGAGTGTGAGCAGGAGAGCCTGAGGATGTGAGGGATATCACAGAAGAACTGGCCCAGGGCATTGCCCTGGCACAGGGGCAGGGAAAATGTATTGGCTGTGTGCAGCAGAGAATAGAGAAACCCAGAGGCCCAGGCAGCTGCTGCCATGTGGGCACAAGCTCTGCTGCCCAGGAGGGTCCCGTAGTGCAGGGGTTTGCAGATGGCAACGT